AAAAAAAAAGCTCTGACCCTGATGGCTTCACTGGAGAATTCTACCAAACTTTCAGAGAAGAGTTAACACCACTACTAGTAAAGGTATTTCAGAGCATAGAAAAGGATGGAATACTCCCAAATTCTTTCTATGAAGCCAGCATAATCCTGATACCAAAACCAGGTAAAGACAGCACAAAAAAAAGAAAATTACTGACCAATATCCCTCATGAACATACAAACAAAAATCTTCAATAAAATTCTAGCCAATAGAATTCAACAACATATCTCAAAAATATTTCACCATGACCAAGTGGGATTCATACCAGATATGCAGGAATGGTTCAACATTAGAAAAACTATGTAATCCATCACGTAAATAAAACAAAAGATAAGAACCCCATAATCTTATCAATTGATGCAGAAAAGGCATTTGACAAAATCCAACACCCTTTCATGATAAAAACTCTCAGCAAAATAGGAATAGAAGAGAAATTCTTCAACAAATTTAAGGGCATTTATTCTAAACATCATTCTAAATGGAGAGAGTCTGAAAGCATTCCCCTTGAGAATGGGAACCACTCTTATTCAACATTGTGCTGGAGGTCCTAGCCAGAGCAATTACGCTAAAAAAAGAAATAAGGGGCATCCAAATTGGTAAGGATGAAGTCAAAGTATCTCTATTTGCAGATGATATGATCTTATAGACAGAAAACCCCAAAGAATCCACAAGAAAACTACTGGAACCAATAGAAGATTTCAGCAAAGTATCAGGATACAAGATAAACATACAAAAATCAGTTGGATTCCTCTACACCAACAAAAAGAAATTCAAAGAGGAAATCACCAATCAATACCATTTACAATAGCCCCAAGAAGATAAAATACTTAGGAATAAATCTAACCAGAGACATAAAAGGCCTATACAATGAAAACTACAAAACTCTACTGCAAGAAACCAAAAGAGACCTACGTAAGTGGAAAAACATACCTTGCTTATGGATAGGAAGACTCAACATTGTGAAAATGTCAATTCTACCCAAAGTGATCTACAGATACAATGCAATCCTGATCCAAATTTCACCAGCATTTTTTAAGAAGATGGAGAAACATAGCAGCAACCTCATATGGAAAGGAAAGAAGCCCCAGATAAGTAAAGCATTACTGAAGAAGAAGAACAAAGTGGGAGACCTCACACTACCTGATTTCAGAACCTATTATACCACCACGGTAGTCAAAACAGCCTGGTACTTGTACAACAACAGATACATAGATCAATGGAACAGAATTCAGAATCCAGACATAAATTCATCCACCTATGAGCAGCTGATATTTGACAAATGTCCAAAGTCCGTTAATTGAGAAAAGATGATCTCTAACACATGGTGCTGGCATAACTGGATATCCATCTGCAAAAAATTGAAACAAGACCTATACCTCACACCATGCACAAAAAAAAAAACTCAAAATGGCTCAAAGACCTAAATATAAAATCTAAAACAATAAAGATCATGGAAGAAAAAACAGGGACAATGCTAGGAGCCCTAACACATGGTAGACACAGAACACAAACCGTAACTAACTATGCACAAACACCAAAAGAGAAACTAGATAACTGGGAGCTCTTAAAAATCAAACACTTAATGCCCATCAAAAGACTTCACCAAAAGAGTAAAAAGACAACCTACAGACTGGGAAAAAAATTTTGGCTATGACATATCTTATCAGGATCTAATCTCTAAAATGTACAAGATGCTGCAAAACCTCAACAACCAAAAGACAAATTACACAATTAAAAAATGGGCAAAGGATATGAACAGGAACTTCACCAAAGAAAACATTCAAGCAGCTAACAGATGCATGAGGAAATGCTCACGATCATTAGCCATTAGAGAAATGCATATCAAAACTACAGTGAGATATCCTCTCACCCCAACAAGGCTAGCATTAATGCAAAAAACAAAAAATAATAAATGTTTGAGAGATTGGAACACTTAGACACTGTTGGTGGGAAAGTAAAATGGTACCTTGGAAATCGATTTGGCATTTCCTTTAAAAGCTAGACATAGAAGTACCATACAATCCAGCAATCCCACTCCTTGGAATATATCCTAGAGAAATTAAGAGCTGTCACACGAATAAGATACATGCACACCCATGTTCATCGCAGCACTGTTCACAATAGCAAAAAGATGGAAACCACCTAGGTGCCCATCAACAGATGAATGGATAAACAAATCATGGTATATCCACACAGTGGAATACTACTCAACAATAAAGAACAACGGTGAATCTGTGAAACATCTCGTAACGTGGATGAATCTGAAAGGCATTATTCTGAGCGAAATTAGTCAGTCACAAAAGGACAAATATTGTATGAGACCACTATTACAAGAACTCAGGAAAAGGTTTAAACACAGAAGAAAACATTCTTTGATGGTTACGAGGGTGAGGAGGGAGGGAGAGTGGTATTCACTAACTAGATAGTAGACAAGAATTATCTTAGGTGAAGGGAACGACAACACACAATACAAGGTAAGTCAGCACAACTGAACTAAACCAAAAGCTAAGAAGTTTCCTGAATACAACCAAACCCTTTGAGGGACAGAGTAGCAGGAGCAGGGGTCTGGGGACCATGCTTTCAGGGGATATCTAGGTCAATTGGCATAACAGTTTATTAAGAAAATGTTCTGCATCCCACTTTGGTGAGTGGCATCTGGGGTCTTAAAAGCTAGCAAGTGGCCCTCTAAGATACATCAGTAGGTCCCAACCCACCTGGAGCAAAGGATAATGAAGAACACCAAAGACACAAGGAAAATGTTAACCCAAGAGACAAAAGGGCCACATAAACTAGAGACTCCATCAGCCTGAGACCAGAACTAGATGGTGCCCAGCTACCATCAATGACCACCCTGACAGGGAACATAACAGAGAGTCCCTGACGGAGCAGGAGAAAAATGGAGTGCAGAACTCAAATTTTAGTCGAAAGAAAAAAAAAAAAAAATACTAAATGGTCTGACTGAGACTGGAGAGATCCCGGAAGATATGGCCCCCAGACTCTCTGTTAACCCAGAACTAAAACCATTCCCTAAGTCAACTCTTCAGACAAAGATTAGACTAGACTATAAGACATAAAATGATACTCGTGAAAAGTTTGCATCTTAGCTCAAGTAGATATGTGTGTCTAAATGGGCAGATACTGTCCGGAGGTGAGATAAGTAGGCAAAAAGGGATAGAAGCTGGTTGAATGAACACAGGAAATCCAGGTCAGACAGAAGGGGTGTGCTGTCACAGTATGGGAAGTGCAACTAGGGTCACATAGCAGTGTGTGTATAAGGTTTTGTATGAGAAACTAACCTGAACTGTAAACTTTCATTTACAGCACAATTTTAAAAAAAAGTATATTTGAACTGTCATTTGCTCAACAGATATTGCTTTTGTATCTACTATGTGCATTTCCCCACCTTGAAGAAGATGGTAATTGAGTTTGTGAAGAAGGACATACAGGCTTACAAAGTTAATAATGATGTCTAACGATGGTATAAAAGGTGTTATAAGAGAGAAAAATATTAATCAAAGGTTTCTATCTCTGTCAGTCCTAATAGACTAAACTATACTAATGTAACACTATTATTATAATATTTAGTATTACAGTCAATTCTTATTAATCACAGTAGATATGTTCTATAAAGTCATTGTGAACACTGAATTGGCAAATTCTTAACCATTGCTTTGAAGAAAAATACAGGATTAGGTGTCTGTGAGCCTCTGGTCACAGCATTCTCATCAATGAATCAATACATAATCTTGTTTTATGTGTGTTTCTGTGTAAGGACACCTTATTTAAGATATATTGTTGATTCATTAACATTAAATTCACAGCCAACAGTACAATAGCTCATGCCTGAACAAAGTTTATCTAATACATGTTTTCTCCATAATGCACATCACAGCCTTCTTGCACTTCAGAACACTATACTTGGGGGCCATTTTAAATACTGAAATCACCAACAAAAAGCACAAAAATGCAAAAAACATGACGCTAAATCGACCATGGAAAGGACACTTTTTTACAGTATAAGCGCTGAAGCAAGAAGGCAGAGCGTCACCTTGTTCAACCTCAGCTGGGATATGTATAACAGGCAACTCAGATTTTTTACTGCTCTATGCATGTCCTCAAATGACTGTGAAAGTGTCACAAATATTGATTTGGGGGTTACAAATAAATTTTAGCAAATAGCTGAATTCCAGATATGAAATCTACAGATAATAAAGATGAACTGTACCTTATTTTATCATAGTCATTAATAGCTAGAATTAATTAAGCACTTAACTTTACCAATATGGTATAAAAACCATTTTTATCCTCATTTTACATGTGAGGGCATGAGAGGTTACATAGCAATAAGTAGTGGAGCCACAATTCAAACCTACTTCTAACCAATCAGTAACCAAACTCTTGTCACAGTACTGTATTATTTTCCCTAAATTTTGGGTCCAAAAAGTCCATTTCCATTAATAGTTTAGTTATAGCATAGATAATGCCTGTAACTGTTTATTTCCTTTGCATTTTAAAATCATTTGGAGTATTGGTCTTCTTGATGTGTCTATAAGAATTATTTTTCTCTTTATATAGGGTTGTGATATGCAGATGATTTATGATATGTTGCTAAGATTGAAATCCACTCTCTATTTACCTGGTGACTTTGTCTGCAAAAAGGTAAGTACGTGCTATCTTTCAAATGCACACCCAATAAATACATTGAAGAGGAGTTCAAACATAGGTCAAAAGCGTAGTTTAAACAAAATTTGTCTGGGGTGAATTCCATAGTAAAGAAGTATTATGATATACAGCTCTATATAACAATAATGTGCTCTCAAATTTCAGAATGGAACAAGACAATGTGGGTTTCATTACTCATGTTACAGGATATAAGTGGTATAGGTAGTCTGAAAAGCTGCTTTGTATAAATGTGTATTATTAGTCCTCACACCCCATTAATTCCAAATATTTGAAGTGGAGAAAAAAGTTACAGAAGCAAAAGGTGGTTCTGCCCTTTTTATGTCTTCAGCAAACTATCAGTTAACTCCTTACCCTGTTTGTGCATAATCAATGCCACATTTTTGAAAACTTTACTGCGCTTTTTATGATTACAAAAGTTAATACACATACATTATTTTAAAAAAAGAAAATGCATAAAATCACAAAGAGAAAAATTCCACCACCCAGAAATAACCACTAGTAATATATATTGTCTTATTTTTTTATATGGACTGATGGATATATAGATCTTGTTTTACAAAATTGGCATCATACCATACATACGTTTGGAAACTTGCTTTGTCATGTAACAATATGTCATACAAATCTTTTACATATTATTATGTAATCTTCTACAACCTGATTTTTTTTAAATTGTGTAATATTCCGGTCTATGTATATGCAATACCAACTTCCTATTGTTGGACATTTAGATTATTTCCAAATGTTTGCTATTACAAATAGTTATAAATAACCCTAAAATGAACATCCCTTTGAATAAATTTTTTTACACACCTCTGATTATTAACTTAGGGTAAGAGAGAAGGAATGATGACCCTAGGTCTTATATCTTGAAGGACTAAATCAATGGCGAAGTAAAAAATCAAAATAAAGAACAGAGGAAGATAAGCAATTCAAAGAAATGAGAGATAATCAAAGACCTTGGAGATTTAAAGCTAGTGAAGTACTTACATCACTCCAAAATAATGAGTACGTACTATGGTAGAAGTAAGTACAAGCTACTGTAGGGCAACAAAGTAGGGACACTTGTCATTCTGGAAGGTACTGGCAAGATTTCCGGAGAAAATGATGCCCAAGCTAAGTCTTAAAGGAGCAAACCAAATGAAAGAGGAAACAGGTGTTCCGGAGAAGAAAGAATTAGCATAAGCAAAGGCAGAAAGGAAGAGCTGTGTCTCCAGAGGGAGGGAGTTAAGAGAACCACAATAAGGCAAAAATTAGAACATTTTTAATATCATTTATTCAATAAAATTTAATAAATATTTTTGCTTACTATGGACCAGGCTACTGGTCCAAAGTACTGGGTATATACAAAAAACAAAACAAGAAAACCATTACCATCGAGTCAGTTCCAATTCATGGCAACATCATATATCACAGAGTAGAACTTCTCCATAGACTATTCTGGCTCCACAGAAGCCAGATCACCAGCGCTTTCTTCTGTGATGCCACTGGGTTGGTTTGAACTGTCGACCTTTAGTAGTCAATTGCAAACTGTCTGCGCCACCAGGGACATTGGGTATGTACAGCAGTGAGCAAAAAAGATGATTCTTGTCCTCCAGAAGCTTATAGTCTGGTGCAGCAGTATTCAATTTACAATGTACATTAGAATCACCTGAATATAGATGTTTGGGCTCCATCCTCAGAGATTCAACTGATTTGAGTGGAGCCCATATGTCATTTTTGTTTTTTTAAAGCTCCCCAGAAGATTCTAAAATGCAGCCAGAGTTGAGAACCACTGGCTTGATGGAAGAGACAAATAACAAACAAATGAAATTAAATGCATAACTACGAAGCGGGTTATGTTGAATAAAGGGAAAAAAGAAGTGGCCAGGAATGTTTGTAACAGCAAAGGCACTTAATTTAGATTGGAGTGTGTGAGGGCAGGAGAGTGAGGAGGTTGACAGATTGTCAGGCATGACCTTTGTAAAATCTAAAGAGAAGTAGTTCTTTAGTAAAAGAATGGAGGGGACAGCATTTTAGATGAAGACTATGAATCATGAGCCATAAGGAAGGTGAGGAGAGCTTGGCATGTTCAAGTGAGCAACTGCGATAGTGGTGAGAGACGAACTCAAATGGAGTGTGAAGTACTGGATGGGGGCATCCAGGTGGAGATGCTGGGTGCGCAGTTGGAAATGAGTCTAGTCCATGAGAGAGGATGGAACTAGAGGTAAATGTTTGGGGGCCCTATATTGTAGAAGCTGACTCCATGAGACCCTCAAGAAAAAGTAAGAGAAGAGGGTCAAGGCTGTAGTTTGGAAAAATACCAATGTTTAAAGATGAGAAAAATGAAGAAAAATCAGACAAGGCAACTGAGAGGAAGCTGTCGGAGATAAGAGGAAAATGGGAGAGAGATTGTGACATAATGGAAACCAAGGACACACAATCCTACACAATCTAGCCTAAGTAAAAGCAGACAGATTGGTGCTATCAAATCATTTTTATAAAAACGAGCATACAAACCACATTGCATTTTAAGTATCCCTTTAGGGCAGTGGTGCATTTGGAATGGACATGACCTTAACACACCAAAATGGCCTTTCAGTTTGTTCCAATAGCAGCAGGAACTGAAAATTGAGATAACTCATGTAAGTTTTAGAACCCGAGCCCCTAAGCAGTGCACATTTGCTTAGTAACGTGTAAAATGCAAAGGAGAGGCAGCCTTATCATTTCTAATTTCTTCCTAACATCACATCCATCTCCCAATAATAAAAACAAATCAGCAAACATACGTGAGGGAAGAAAAGAAATAAATAGGGAAAAGAGCAGAAATGAGAAGACTCAAGAACTACAAACCACGTTTCTTTGTTGTTGTTTTTTTTTTGTTTGTTTGTTTGTCATTTTGTCTTTGTTTTTGTTTAAGAGGCCATTTAAGTGATAGTACATATTGACAGAGACAAAACTTGTTACTTGGCCAGACTTTAGACAACTGAGTACAGCTTAAGTTTTGCTCATCAGTGCCACAAACTGTTATAGGAAAAGAGGAGAAACAAACTCATGCCATATTGGAGGTTACCTAAATAATTGAAGAAATGGCAGGATTCTGGTCTGAGTTTGCTGACCTGCCTCATCTTCAGGATGATTCCTAGCTTGGACTGCCTCAAAGAGCATTTGAGAAATTTACCAGGATGCTCTAGGGCAGTGTTTCTCACAATTTAGTGTGCCTAAGAGCCCTGGTGGCACAGCGGTTAAGAGCTATGGCAAGCTACGGCTGCTAAACAAAAGGTTGGCAGTTCGAATCCACCAGCCTCTCTTTGGAAACCCTATGGGGCCGTTCTACCCTGCCCTACAGGGTCTCTATGAGTCGGAATCAACTTGATGGCATTGGGTTAGGTTAAGAATCGCCTGGAGATCTTGTTAAAGTGCAGATTCCTGGGCTTCCACATCCAGAGATTCTGGTCCAGTAGAATTTGCACCTCTAAGCAAGCTCCAGGAGTCCCTGAGTGGTGAGTTAATGTGCTCAGCTGCTAACTAAAAGGCTGTTGGTTTGAGTCCAACCAAAGGCACCCTGGAAGAAAGGCCTGGCAATCTACTCCTAGAAAAATCAGCCATTGTAAACCCTATGGAGCACAGTTCTACCCTGACACACATGGGATCACCATGAGTTGGGTCAGCTCGATGACAGCTGTCTTGGTTTCTAAACAAGCTCCAAAGTGAGGTGATGCTGCTGGTCCAGAAACCACACTTTGAGTAGCACTGCTGTTTTCTGATAGGGTATACTCAAGTGGCATAATTCTCCCTCTAGCCTTGGAAATAGCCTCCTACACAAGAATCTTTTTTTTTTTTTCATTGTACTTTAGGTGAAGTTTTACAGAACAAATAGTTTCTCATTAAACAGTCAGTACACATATTGTTTTATGACATTGGTTAACAACCCCACAACATATCAACCCTCTCCCTTCTTGACCTTTTTTTTTTTCTTTTTGGTGAAAATACACATAGCCAAAGATACACCATTTCAAAATTTCTACATGCACAATTTAGTAACATTCATTACTTTCTTCCAGTTGTGCTGCTGTTCTCACTTTAGATGAAGGTTTACAGAACAAAATAGTTTCTCATTAAACAGTTAGTGCACATGTTGCCCTATGACAATGGTTAAAAACCCCATGACATGTCAACACTGTCCTTTCTCAACCTTGGGTTCCCTATCACTAGCTTTCCTGTCCCCTTCTGCCTTCTAGCCCTTGTCCCTGGACTGTTGTGCCTCATTAGTCCCATTTTGTTTTATGGGGCTGTCCAATCCCCAGCTGAATGGTGAACCTCGGAAGTGACTTCACCACTAAGCTAAAAGGGTGTCTGGGGGCCATACTCTCGGGGTTTCTCCAGTCTCTTTCAGGCCAGTAAATCTGTTTTTTTTGTGTGTGTGTTAGAATTTTGTGCTACATCCTTCTGCAGTTCTGTCCAGAACCCTCTGTTGTGATCCCGGTCAGAGCAGTCAGTGGTGGTAGCTGGGCACCATCTAGCTGTACTGGACTCAGTCTGGTGGAGACCTTGGTAGCTGTGGTCCATTAGTCCTTTGGACTAATCTTTTCCTTATATCGTGTTCTCTTCATTCTCCCTTGCTCCCGAAGGGGTGAGACCAGTGGAGTATCTTAGATGGCTGCTCACAGGCTTTTAAGACCCCAGACACTACTCACCAAGGTAGAATGTAGAATATTGTCTTTATAAACTGTGTTATGCCAGTTGAGCTAGATGTTCCCCGAGACCATGGTCCCCATAGCCCTCCACCAAGCAATTCAGTCCCTCAGGGAGTTTGGATGTGTCTGTGGAGCTTCCATGACCTTTCCTTGTACAAGTTGTGCTGGCTTCCGCAGTATTGTGTACTGTCTCACCCTTCACCAAAGATACCACTTATGTATTGCCTGTTTAGTATTCCCCCCCAACCCTCCCATCCCTCGTAACCAACAAAGATCGTTACTTTTTTTGTGTGTAAACTTTTTCATGAGTTTTTACTATAGTGGTCTCATACAATATTTGTACTTTTGGATTGACTTATTTCACACAGCATAATGTCCTCCAGTTTCATCCATGTTATGAGATGCTTCACAGATTTATCATTGTTCTTTATGTTTGCATAATACTCCATTGTGTGTATGTACCATAGTTTGTTTATCCATTCATCTGTTGATGGGCATCTGGGTTGTTTCCATCTTCTTGCTATTGTGAACAATGCTGCCATGAACCTGGGTGTGCATATGTCTATTTGTGCTACACAAGAATCTTGTAGCTCTCACTAAGGGTTAACTCACTCTGCATGAAGCTCTTGCATCTCTACACTTTCTCCAAATTAGTGCATAAACCAATCAGAAGAGCTTGGTTCGATCTTATTTTGCACATGCTGTCAGCCCTTGTTCTCTGAGGAATGTCTACTTCATTTGAGTGCTAATTAAACTTGCAGAAAAGGCTTAAATTAGCCTCAAAATATATGCAAGAAACAGTGGAAGTTTTGGTTAGTTGATTATGCCAGATCTCCTTAAAAAATTATTGAAATGATCATTAAAAAATAATTAAAAGTGCTGAACTATATTTAAGTACCCATTATGTATTTCTACCTCCAGTCGGTTGTAATAACTGCCTTTGAAAAATTATTCCAGTTCCTTGGGAGTTACTTCATGCAAAGAAAAAGGAATATGACCCTGTTCTAATCATTACTTCCTGAAGTATGTCTTGAAAAACTAATTTTCAGACACTTTTCCTTATTTTAAAAATCATTCATAGCTACTACTTTGTTTTTTAAGAGATTAGACTTGATATTGGAGTCATCATTAGACATGATAGATGTATATGTATTATATCGTTGTTGTTGCCATTGCCGTCGAGTCGATTCCGACTCATAGTGACCCTATAGGACAGAGTAGAACTGCCCCATAGGGTTTCCAAGGAGCGGCTGGGGACTCAAACTGCCAGCCTTTTGATTGGCAGCCAAGCTTGTAACCACTGAGCCACCAGGGCCCCCATATATAGAGTCAGGTAATGTAAGTGCTGCTAGTTCTAGTGCTGTCACCTACTAACCTTGCAAGTTTGTTTAAGACACTTTACTTTTCAGGCCTCTACTACCAATTCTTCAATAAAAACAATAATGCCTTCCCTATTTAGATTCACAGTGGTTTTTGCAAGAATTAAATAAGTTAACATCTATGAAAAAGTTCCTTGCTATTTATAAAGTAGCATGTCCTAATAGAAAAAATAAAGGAATTAAAATACAGAGCTATGTGGACATCAGATATTATTATTTTAAAAAATACTGGATATTGATGTTATATGAATAACTATAATAAAATCAATCTATGTTGAAATTTTTACCTTGATCTATATTTGAGTATTAATATATGCTTAATATGCTGCACAATGCAAAATATAAACATACTTCTTGCATTGCTCAGTGAGGAGATCTGGATTCTAGACTTCCTTTTGCTTCTAATTATTGAGTCTTGGAATTTGGCTTATCAGCTAAGCCAATCTGTGCCTTGGTTTTTCTTTGTGAAAAATGGAAATGATAACATAGACTCTACCTTCTTCATAAGGATAATGGGGAGATAAAATGAAAATAGTAATTTCCCACATGTTAACTAAAAGATGGAGTCTGGTAACTTTAAAGTCAACTTCATAGTTATAATACATCAATAACTAATGTCCAAAAAAATAACCCTTGGCATTAAATAACTTCAAAACTTCCCAGAGAAATGTTAGATTATATTTCCTTAATTCATAAATGAATGCCAATCAAGTCCTGTGCTAACAATGGCACCAAGCAGTCATTGCTTCAGTCATCTCAGGGCGTAAACTATAATCAAAATTGTTTAATCTTGAGACTCTATGGCAGTAGGTTTGGTTTTGTTTTAATCATTTGAAAATATGGTTAACCAGAATGTTTGATTAACTCAAATAACCCAATCCCCTCCTGAGCCATGCAACTGAATGTATTGTATTCTTGCAATCTTTATATACCTCAGGGTGATCAAGATCCAACTCATTAAATCATATAGATTCTGTTATCCAAGTAGTTTGCCTAGTATTACATGCAAACTGACCTATATAGAATTTAACAGCCTTTTTTTTTTTTTTAACCCAAATGCCATTTAGTTGTTTTGTCAGACATATTTACTTTTTTTGGAAGTTGGGGTGAGGGGACATGTTCCAGGGGTCCCGCAACTACCCACTAGTTTGGTGATTTGCTGAAAGAACTCACATGATTCAACATAAAGTCAGCTGCAGGCTTCCTAGGTCCTCCTCTGCGAGGGCTGTGGAGTTGCACTTTTCTCTCCAGCTGTGAACCACAGAGACACAAGCAAAATATCACCTCCCAGGGAAGCCCACTTGAGTCTTGGGGGCCAGAGTCCTTAAACGGGGCTTGTCACCTAGCCACATGAGCAGCCATGGTGCAGACTCCAAACAAAGTACCAGGTGCACATCATAAATCTTAGTGCTTACATTAAACAATGCTGGCATCCTGGTACATCTTGCCCACTGCCTTGAACATACAGAATAACATCGTTAATCAGTGACCATGTGAACATTCCAGGAGTTTTGTTCTCAGGGCTTCAACAAGGGTCATTGACCTGGTTCGAGGAGTCCCCAGAGATAAGCAGGAATGAGTAAAACAACCTGCTGCAATAATACTTTCCTTCAATATGGAATAAGAGTAATAGCTTAAAGGTCTCCTATGCATCAATTCCCAAAATCATTCCTCAGTGTCATAGGCAGAAGAGTAAACATTAGAATGGCTGCAGCCCATGCTCTTTGGATAGACCAAGCACCTTCTTCAAAGTTCAACAGTGGTCACCAAAGCCAGGTGCATCCATGCTCTTACAATCATGCCCATTCCTGGTACAATATGCTGACTAAAATATCTTCATATGTTCAGTGGTGGCATACAATGTTCATATGTTGGGAGGTGTCCATCTTCCTAATAATTTCCTTTTGAGTGATAGGACCAACCAGTGTTTATGTAACTACCTCAACAGTTAATTAATTAAGATAATTAGTTTTACGTTGATGTTTTCATTTACTCCTCTAGAAGACTTTATATTTCTTAATTTGTGGCATAGTTATCAATAATGAAGTGACTACCATTTCTTCTTTATATTTGGCATATAGGGAGAAATTGGCAAAGAAATGTATATAATCAAGCAAGGAGCAGTCCAAGTTCTCGGAGGCCCTGATGGTACTCAAGTTCTGGTTACTCTGAAAGGTGGGGCAGTGTTTGGAGAAATCAGGTATCTGAAAGACATCTCACATATATTGAAGTCAAATTATTTGTCCTAAAATAAAAATCTTAGGTCATAAAATAAGTGAAGTTCCTGTTCAAATTTCTTAAAAGTTTGGTTATGCTGAGAGCATTGGTAAAATAAGGATTTTCACATTTCTATTCATTCTCTCCTTTCTCTCCCTGCAAAGATCTTATGTTTCCTAAGGAAAAGGATTATGTCAGTCAGCTTTACAGTCTCAGGACCTAAGTCAGTGCCTGGCCTAAGATAAATGCTCAATATATGTTGAATGAATACATAAATGAATTAATGAGATGTTGAGAGAGTTGGTTGGAAGACCTTACATGCCAGGCTAAGAAGGTGGTTTTGAGTAGATGAGTGATAGAATCTTAATTGTGGGACCAAATTTCCTGGGTCCAAAACTCATTTCCACCACTGATTAGCTAGGGTCCTTGGGCATGTTACTTGACCCTCTGTTACTGAGTTTCCTCATCTTAATAATAATAAAAGTAATACAACAACAATAATATATATCTTAGAGGGTTGGTAAATGAGTTAATACATGAAAAGTACTTAAAACAATGCCTGGCATCTGGAAAGAGCTTAATAAGTATTAACTGTTGTTATTATTATTTCTTATTGGCCAGGAGAAGTTTATCTTAGAACAAGTCCCCAAGAGTAAGAATCCAAACCAAAAACCAAACCCGTTGCTGTCAGGTCAATTCCGACTCATAGTGACCTTATAGGACAGAGTAGAACTGCCCCATAGTGTTTCCAAGGCTGTAATCTTTACAGAAGCAGACTGCCACATCTTTTGTCTGTGGAGCAGCTGATGGGTCTGAACCACCGACCTTTCAGTTAACAGCCAAGCGCTTAACCACTGCACCAGCAGGGCTCCTTTAAGAGTAAGAATATAGATAGCAAATTTAAGCACATTGTGGACCAGACACTTCTATATGCATTATCTCACTTAAACTTATTCATTTATTCATTCAACAAGTATTTATTGAGTGCCTGTTACATACTAGATTACCAGGTATTACTCTAAATTCTTGGAAATACACAGTAAAACAATAGACAAAACGTCGACCTCACAGAGCTTACAGTCTGACAGAGGGAAATTGACAATAAACAGTTAAACAATTAACTAGACAAGATAAATTCACATTGTGATAACTGTTATGAAGGCAAAACTGTGAACTAAATTGTTTGAAAGTGACTAGGGTTACTACTTTAGATGCTGTGGTCAGGGATGGGCCCTCTGAAGAGATAATAGTTGAACTGAGACTTGAAAAACTAAAAGGAGCAGCTGGCCATTCAGAAATGGGGGAAGAGCCCCCAAGATGATAGAACAGTCTATAGGTAAAAGCAAGCTTGTCTGGTCAAGGGACAAAAAGGTCAGTGTGGTTGGAATATGGCAAGTAAGTGACACTGTGAGAGAAATGAGGCCAAAGAAGTAGGCAAGGGCCAGATTATATAGCACCTTGTAGGCCATGGTAAATACTTGCTGTTTTATTATAGATACAAATGGATGCCAGTAGATGGTTTTAGGAAAGAGAGTAACACAACCTGAATTACAATTTTTAGACCACTCCAACAGCTATGTGGATAAAAGATGGTAGAGGAGCAAGAATGAAATAGAAGAGACCAATTAGGAATCGTTTGCAGGGGTTTGAGTGAAAGATGACAGTGTCTTGAACTAGGATGGTGGATATTAAGATAGAGAGAAGAGTACACTGTCAGGGAGTTATTAATATAATCATTTCACAACTGAGAAAACTGCAAATCCAGGATGTCAAAAATCTTGCCCAGGATAGCATAGTTAATAAGTGATAGGGACAACATTCAAACTCAAGTATCATGGATCGTGGTCCAGTGACCTGTCCACCACACCACAGAAGAAAGTTTGTCCAACCTCTAACTTCATGGCTGCTAAGAAGTTATCTCTGGTTTCCAGTGATGTGGATAATTTCAGATGACTTAATATTAGCATAATTAAGTTTTCCTTGGAATGTTGAAGCATATTATTTCTCTGTTGATAATTTGGCCTCTCTGTTTTATTTTTTATCCTCACTTAACGACTGGGTGGGCACTCCTGGGAAGGTCCTCTTCTGGGGCAGTAGTGGAAAACACTTCTTAGAAAGTCAAAGACCTGAGTTCTTTGCCTATTTCTATCATCCTCTTACTGGGAGTCTTTCTAAAAGTGATTTAATATTTTTGTGACTTAATAATCACTGTACTCTTGAAGGTCATAAAACATGCAAAAGCCTAATCTGACACATTGTAGAAAATAATTAGTTGACCTCTCTCAAAGGTTGAGTCCTCCCTGAAGAATGACATTTCATAAATACAGGTATGTTAATTGCTGATACAATCATCACAGGAGGAAATACCCTGGGAATAAAATGCAGGCGCTGCTGAGTTGCAATTGAAAGGGATCCTAGATTCTTGATTGCAGCTTTTTAAATAAATCTCCTATTACCAATTTGGTTACTAAGGCCAAATTGGAACCAGTGGGCCAGCAAAGTCTAAACTTGCTCAGTTGGAAGTTTTTTTTGCCTTGATTCTCTTCTTGGCTGTGGTGGAAGAGAAACAGGATGCATCTCCCTCTTCCCAGTGTTAGCCTGAGTATACTAGGCCCAAGATGGAGTCACTTATGTTAAGCCCCATGTCAGCAAACTGAACTCTATTTTCTGTTTCCTGTAAATGCCTGACCTTCCCAGGAGCTGCAACCTAAGTCAGCCAATCTGCTCTTGCCGCCTTAGCTATGCTAGATGACTGGGCTATGAAAGTTCCCAGTATGTCATATAAGGAAAGTTACTTAGAACCAATCACTTTTTGCCTAGCATTACTTCCTTCTTCTTACACCACTTTGCCCATATAACTCTGGTCTCTTCTGCTCGCCCTTGGGGGCTGTTGTCTGACTTCCGGGGTCTGCTAAGGACAGCCTTGTGGTAGTTTATGACTCCATGGTTTTCCTTACATTTAATGACAAGTTTTAGTCACTGAATGTATTTGACCACTTTCTATACTCCTTCTGCATCTGTTAAAATCTTATGCTTCCTGAAATGCATCTGCATTTTTACCATTGGTATTGCTATTAAGATTTCAATAGGATTCCTTGCTCGTTTCACCTCTCTTTGCAAATTCCTCCCCCTGGCAAATTCCTACTCATCCTTTAAGATCCAATTCAAATGTCACCTCTTTGAAGCCATCTCCAACTGCCCTTCAAGCAGTTGCCCTCATCCTATATGCTTCCATAGCACTTCCTTTATGCTTTTATTACAGTAGTTACCACCGATTTATAGTTAATCTGTTCAGATTGGTGTCCCCAACAGGGGACATCAATGAGCCATCAAAAGAACTAAAAGTTACCCATCTTTATATCACCAGTAGCTGCATAAAAATTGTTCAATAAATGTTGATCCCTATTTATAAACTGCCTCCTTTCAAAAATAATTTCAGCAGTTTTCAAATTCAGCAGTTAATTGTTAAAAGTTAATCGTGAACTGACACAAAAAACAGAAAAATTATATTTGGGGCCCCTTAGAGCATAATGTGAGATGCCACAGAGAAGTCCAGGCATTAGTTCCTTACTAGGCACAGTGCCAGCTGTGAGGGTACAATGGTGAACAAGAAATGATCACATCCTTCAAGAACCTTACAAACATGTGAGACAAGTGGAGGAAAGATTTCAATACCACTTGATTCCCATTGCCGTTGAGTCGATTCTGGCTCATAGCCATCCTATAGGACAGAGTAGAACTGCCCCATAGGGTTTCCAAGGAGAGGCTGGTGGATTCGAACTGCCGACCTTTTGGTTAGCAGCCGTAGCTCTCTGTAGCTCTTAACCACTGTGCCACCAGGGCTATGAATTGTATATTATGATGAGAGTATACAAAAGATACTATGGAGCACAAAGGCTTATCAAGGACCAATGTGTTCTTCGGCTTTGGCAATCCCAGAACCTGTGAATGTGACCTTATTTGGAAAAAGGACCTTTGCAGATGTAATTAAGTTAAAGACCTCAAGGTGAGACCATTCTGGATTATCCAGGTGGACCTCTAAATCCAAAGACAAGTGTCTTTGTAAGAGAGAGAAGATAAGAAGACACAGAAGAAAAGAAGGCTGTATGAACTTAGAGACAGAGATTGGAGTTATGCATCCACAAGCCAAGGAACACCTGGAGCCCCCAGAAACTAGAAGAGACAAGGAAGGATTCTCCCACTGGAGTCTTCAGAGGGAGCCCAGCCTTGCCGACACCTTGATTTTGGACTTCTAGCCTCCAGGACTATGAGAAAATAAATTTCTGTTGTTTTAAGCCACCCACTTTGTGGTATACTGGTTACAGCAGCCCTAGGAAACTAATACAGAACCAAACTCTTTAAATTGTTAACTTTTGAAATTTTACTGAAAAAAAAAAGAAGGCATGCTGGATGCTTCCCTTTACTTCACCCTACATGGCCAGTCCACCACAAGACCTGTCAATCTCACCTCCTAAGTATCTCTCAGATCATTTGCTTCTTACCTTTTCCATTGCCACCACTTTGGTCCAAACCACCACCACTGGACAACTGCAATAGCCTACCATATGTCCCCCACTCCAATAACCACACCCCTCCACAATCCAGTCTCCTGTACACTCTGGCCAGAGGGAACTTTTGGAAACATGGAGCTGATCATGTCACTGCCCTCCTGCTTAAACCTGTTCGATGCTTTCATACGGTTCTTAGGCGTAAGAATAAAATTCTGGTCCTCACCGATAAGATCCTCAGGGTCTAGCCTCTGCCTACATCTCTACTTCAGGTTGCACCCCATCCCCCTTGCTCTCTTTAATCCAGACATTCTGGGTCTTTTTCAGTTCCTTGAGTGTTCCACACACCATCTAGCAACAAGGTGATTTTTTTCACATATGCTGTTACTTCTGTCTGGATACATCCGCCACCTCCTTTACCTAGGTCTTAGCTTCTTCTGGGCCTTCCTTGACTCCCCACTACAGGGACCTCCCA